GTGGCGGTCCTTGCCAGCCACAATGAGGACTTCGCGGCCCTTGCCCAGGGGCCAGTGGGGTCGCCGACCCTCGGTCAGTGGTTGACGAAGGTCGGCGATTCTCAACTAGTGGCTGGTAGCCCTTTGAACCAAAAAGAAAAAAAGAAAAAGAAAGAAAAGAAAAGAAAAGAAAAGTATAAAAAATTAATAATAATTCAAAAAATATCTAAATATTATTAAAAATTATCCAGTTAGCGTCGGCCGTATTACATAGAACTGCTAATGTCCACGTCAGAAGCTTATGACTTAATTGGCAAAATTAAAAGGTTTAAGACTGAATTAGAAAAATTACAATAGATTTATGATTTTTTGGACAATTTTCTCACAATTTGAAAAACATTTCCTAAAAACGATCGCTTAAAATCATTAGTCAATGAAAATTATTTTTATTATCAATAACAATTTATGTCTGAACATTTTTATGGACATAAAAAATTTGTCATTAATTCATTTTTATAAATAATTTAAGCGATCGTTTTTAGGAAAAAAATTTCAAATTATTTTTTTCGCAAAAAAAATCAAGTCTATATAACGCCACAAATTGTGTGTTTTCTTCAAGTGTTTGATGATAAAACTCTAAAGAATTCCATGCATATGACTTGGTAGGACAAAACTGATCATTAGAGGACAAAACTAGTGGAGTTCCATTCAAGCAATATGTTATTGTCAATAGTCATGTTTCGGACTTAAGCATGTCCTTAAATTGCTTTGAGCATTAACACATTAAAATAAAATAATGTAACCGTAGAGTTTGCCTTCATAGCAAGGCAAACGGATAGACCGGAGAAGTTCATCGACAGTCGCACGTTCAATTGATAGCATCTCTCTATACCAGAAGGTAGTTACTGACAATCTTCTCTCACTCATGATTATCCATCTAATAAGATTGATTTGAAAGATCTCCACTAACTCTAACAGCGGAGCATCCTTCTTGCTTTTTGTCTCCAAAGTTGAAATTCAAACTATACATGTTTTTTTATTATTTTATATTCCATTACATTATGATAATCGAGCATTCATTTGAAAAACTTTATGATAGCTAAAAAAAATACCCTTTATTTCGAAATTTTGAAAATTGATAAATCTTTCTCCCATTTCCTTTAACTTTTTTTTGGCACGTGCATAACACATGCGCCGTCACAGGTAGACAATAGAGCCGGTTCGAGATCATGCGAAGGGTTCTAATAACATTTTTCAAAGCAAAGACAATACTTTTTTTCTCGACGCAAACGGGATGAGTAAAATTTTTTAGGGAGCACTAAAAGACATGTTTGAAAACATGATCAAATGGAGTCCAAATTGAGATTCGAAAAGTTTTGGAATAAGAGTCATTCTATTAACACGCGGTAATATTGGCGAATATATTTTGAAATTGGTAAAAGAGGACTCTTCTCCGCGCAAAGCTATTCTTTCCAAGAGTACTCATGATTGCTTTCTCATCAAATACATTCATGAAACACAGCACTGTTGGAGTCAATGTGCCCTAGTCCTGTACATCTAGCGTGCCCGCCCGAGTCATGTGAACGACGGTCGTTCTCGCTTTGATTTTCCAATGCTGCCAATTTTTGTCACATTTTTTCCTCTTCCAATTGCGTGGACCGAAGAGAACGTTCCAATTCAGGTGGTGTGCGGTACGCTCCCATTTATTAATATTATTCTTCTTTTTCTGTTTTGACTGTACGAGACGTACGCTGGAAAAGAAAAAATTGAAGTGCATTGAACCGGATTTAGCACACATGCCTCGTACCCTGTTCAACATGTTTGACGTTGGTGCAGTCGGAGACAGATCGTTGGTCGTTTCACATTCGATTTTTGCTTTGGTCATGATGTAGGGAGTTACATAAGTGATAGGACTTGGTTAAATTATTTTATGTATATGTGTTTTGGAATTCATCTAGAACTGGCCCCCGCTTCTAGACGGAATGTACCGGCACTAACATATGCAAATCGATTGTTGGAATATGCTTTTTTTTTTCTTTCGTTTCATTTCATTTGGCATTTCCTTGGTTTATTAGTAGTTTTTTTTTTGTTAATTCGGTCAACATGGTTTTGAATTCTTCTAAAAACTCGATCAGTTCGTCTGGACACATGGGCGAATAGCTACGACTTTTAACGCAGCTGATTTGTTTTTGATTTATTCCTTTACTATCGGTTGCAAAAAGAAAAAAAAAATCAATATGATGTTGGTATGTAAATGATCTGTTTAAATCTTTGGAAATCATCGGATCAATTCAATTGCATACCGGATGCTCGCAATTTAACACAATTGCCAGTACCATTAAAAATCCCAAATTGATAATGCATGACAAATTTACCTCAAACTAATTTTTTCATCTCACAAATAATCTCAAATTGGCACTTCATTACACATTTCCTCCAAGTGACAAACTAATACCTTTGACCCAAATCTTTCCTCCGTTAGCCGTTTGGAATCTGACGTGAATGGTAGATTTGGATTGGGTGTATAATTTTTCAGGGAATAAAAATTAGTTTGAGATAAATACGGTATTAACTGCCAACTTGGGATTTTTTCAAGACGAAAGTTCATTTGGCATAAATGTGTCATTGGATATAGGTTTGAGATTAATTGGGGGTTAAATCCGTAATCCAAATTCGTGCGTTAAGCCAAGGACAATCTCCGTGAGAACACAGCATGTAGAAGTCGAATCAGTGAAACAATTCAATTAATTGAAGTCTAATAAAGACGCGTGTATGCAAGAGTCAAAGGATGTGACGAACGACGATTGCTACTTGCATCATCCTTGTGATTAATTTTTCTTTTTATTTTTTTGGCAATAGCATTAAAACAATTCCCAAAAACGATAAATTGCAAGAAAATTTACCTTGCCCAAAAAAGAAATTCTGTATAGAACAATCAAATATGTGGACTTATCGACCGTCATATCTTAAAGATACCAAGTGCCGATTATGTATGTACAACATCTTTCTCGAGTCTTTCACTTCACGTCTGTCATTTTCTTTAGTAATTGTCACTTACTAAACGAAAAGTACAGAAAATATGTTAGATGAGCCATCCATAATAAGATAAATTAAAAGAGACGTTCGTTTGTCAGATTCTTTAGCTAAGATTTAAAAAAGGGAAAGGAAATTTCCCAATAAACACCGTGAAGGAGTTAATTGATGTGACTAATGCGTAAACATGGACGTTGTACATGTAACAAGCTAAGGTGTTCATACCTTTTACAATGTCATATCACATTTATATTCCCCAAAAGGTTTTTTTGTCCCGTCCTTCTTTTCTTCTCTGCCGAGTTGTTGTATCTGGGTCTCGGTGGCCTTTCTATACTTGTAACTTGGTCATTGTCATTTATCTACGGATAAGTAACACGAGGGAGGCAGTGGATGCTCGCCAATGACACATTGATGGCTAATTTTCATGGAGGATCGCCCATGTGAAAATCTATTCTGTTGACTTTGTGACTCAAAGTTCTTGTCAAATTTGGACTTTGAATCGAGCCCCAAAAACAAGGTAGGTTAGAGACGTCATTGGAGGTGCTCGTGGTGCGAGGATGCAGGAGATCAATAGCTCGTGCCAAAGGCCTAAGCTTCCAATCATGAGCGCAGCACTGGGTGAGTGCTCCGCCATCCAAGGCCGGGAGCCCGGCTGGGCTCGGCAAGGGATGAGCGTCGCACATAATTGGAAAACACGGGATTTGTAACTTTGATTTTAACCCATTTTCGTAAGTTACATATTGGAGCAAACAAGATGAGTCTTAGTGTTTTCTTTCGATGAGTTTTCTAAATAAGTTTTCTATGAGAGTTTGTGAGAAAACATTTGTGGGTTTGCACCCACCTGCGCATGGCCGAGTTGGTGGGCGCTTTCCTTCCCTCCCCAGAGGTTTTGGGTTCGAATCCCTGCTCGGTTCCGTAATTTAAGTGGGGGGCCCTGGCGGTGGGTTACTGGGCTAGTCTCCCCCGAGGTATAGGCGCCCCGATTACCCGTGCGGGCTCGTCCCCGGGGAATGGTGGCGGATCCTCGGTTACAAAAAAAAAAAAACATTCGTGGGTTTGCTTTGGATGCAACCTAGGGTTAGGGAATATTTGAGCAATTGTAATTCTGCAATCATCCAGATTCATAGTGAATTTCTTTACGGTTGGCTCTAGCTCTAGTGTCTATTGGGGCAAACAAGACGAGTGTTAATGTTTTCTTTCGGTGAGTTTTCTAAGTAAGTTATTTATGAGAGTTTGTGAGATAACATTTGTGAGTTTGCTTTAGATGTAACCTAGGGTTAGGATATACTTGAGCAATTGTAATTCTGTAATCATTTGGATTTATAGTGAATTTCTTTACGGCCAGCTCTAGTGTCTATTTAGTAATGCTGTTATCTTTTATTATGGTGGAAGTATAAACGAAAATATTGCTACGTATTTTGAAACTGATTTACAAAAAATTATCATATTAAGTGACGAGTAAATTACTACTTAATAGCTTAAATCTTGACCGTTCATTTAAATACTTAATATGAGTTCTCGCGATCACTTCGTAAATGAATTTCGCTAGTGTCAATGCCGCTAATAGTGCTGGTACACGTACATACATGCAGCAAGATGAATTTGTCAATTGTGACCAATAGGACCAAGCAACAACAGTGGCATCAGTTGGACATTTCACACATGGTTCGGTAGGGTTTAAAAGGTTACCAGTTATCACCTTTCCTAGGTATAAGCAGTCAAAGAAATCAGCTTTCTCATATTCCAAATTTGCAGAACAAAAAATGAAAGGAAAACGACAGAGAGAGAGAAAGTGAGGATGGTACTTAGAAATTAAATCAATGAGGAGATTTGAGATTGAGTAGCCACCCGGCCAGTCTTGATTATACAGTCGCAGCGTTCCCTTCTTCAGTCAAAGTCTTCCCTCTTCTATCCCCCACACCCTCCTCCATTTCCTTCCTATATATATGATCAGTCTTCACATCTCTTGAACCCATCCATACCGAAAGAATAACTCCTCTCTCCTCTTCTCCTCTCTCTCTCTCTTTAAATTTAAGCACACTCTTGAGAGAGAGGCACAGGGCGAGAGAGAGAGATGGCAGGAGGGACAGGAGGAAGGTCGCTGGAGGAAACGCCGACTTGGGCCGTGGCGGTTGTTTGTTTTGTGCTTGTTTTGATCTCCATTATCATCGAGTACATCATTCATTTGATTGGCAAGGTACGAAAGAATATACATGTTAAGACTAGCTTGGCGATATATCAAAGTATTCACTTGAAGCCTCTCTCTTTCTCTCTCTCGTGTGCGCGCATAGTAATATATTGGGTTTCATCAGTTCATGACAGAGACTATTGCATACTCTTACCATTTTCTCTCTGTCCATTGCAGTGGTTAACCAAGAGGAACAAGAAAGCTCTTTACGAAGCACTTGAGAAGATAAAATCAGGTCTCCTCTACTTCTCAAACCCCTCTTCCGTATGAAAATGTGACCATTTGGCATAGACTTATCACTTATCCGTGGTGGTTCGGCGGTCTTTAAGAGAAGCCATTTTTCAGCAAAAGTTAGCCGAGAAGTCGTACGTCTTGATAGCATCATGTCACTAACCAATGATGCATTTTCCATTAACAAGCAGAGAATCAAGAATTCAAGCCATCATGACACGCGGACTAAATGTCTTATTCAGTAGATTGAACCTTTGAACCGTGCACTCTCATAATTATTGTTGATCAGTCTATTTTGTTAAAAGTCTATTTTGTTAAAAAGTTGAGTCACGAGTCATCAATCAAATCATAACATCACGACAGAATATCGTCGTACCGATGGATGGTATTTACTTCTTTTGAAATAAAATTATCTAAGTTAGATCCAACGCCTGGAATATGAGCCTGTTGAGGTAGTTATGTGATATATATAGTTAAAGATACATCTAATTATGTAGCGACTGGAGATGTTTATAATTAGGTCAAATCTGCAGTTGAGTTTACGGATATAGATATCATTATTGACTTGCTTATGTGAACTCACAACTGTGCTTTGCAATCTCAGAACTCATGTTGTTGGGCTTCATATCGCTACTGCTGACAGTGGGTCAAGGGCCCATCTCAGACATATGCATATCGGAGTCGCTGGGCGCCACTTGGCATCCATGCAGTCATAAACAGGAGTCCAAAATGAACACGGACGATCAAGAAGATGAAGACGCTGATCACGGAAGAAGACGGCGGCTACTCGTGAGCCTCTCCAACACCACACAAGCATCTTTTGGTCATCAGAATGCTCGCAGAGGTTTAGCTGCTGCTGGATATGACAAATGTAGCCCCAAGGCAATCATCTTATTACCCTTCCAAAAGATATTGCAATTAATTCATTTCCTTGGGCTTTTCTCTAAGGTTCATGAAGTTAACAGCTTCAAAAACTCCAAACTTAAAGACGATCATGATCATAATTTAGTACTAATGGAGGGTGAATTTGATATTGTATTTCAGCTGCCAAGGGGTCCACCCACACCTATATTTTCGACTCTTTAAACTACTTTCCGGTTTGACATGGTTAAAGACATAGCTTCACAAACTCCAACCTTAAAGACCATCTGAATTTATGATAATATCTTATTATTGATGGAGGTTTAGTTTGTTATGATACACGTTTCAGCTGTTTTGGGGATTACTTTTTCCACCCATTTCTATATTTTCAACTTTTTAAACTATTTTCGGTTTTGACATGGTGAAGACTGTGGAATTTGGCCAGCTAAAAGACTATAATAACAAATTGATGGGCGAACATTTGAAGATGACATGTTTTGTGTTTGATGATCTTTCAAGATCCAATGATGTATATGTGCGTGGTTTACTTGCTGTCATTACAGGGAAAGGTGCCGTTTGTGTCCAAAGATGGGATTCATCAGCTTCACATATTTATATTTGTGTTGGCGGTCTTCCATGTGCTCTACTGCATAATTACCTTGGCCTTGGGTAGTGCCAAGGTATGTACATGGAGTAATGAAAAAGTTTGATGAAGAAAAAAAATTTCCCATTATGATTTTTGTTTGGTTTATTGCAGATGAGAAAGTGGAAGGCGTGGGAGAAGGAAACGAAGACGGTTGACTATCAATTTTCACATGGTAGGTATCTTATTGACTTATCCTAATTTAGAACGTGAAATATATATGGAGGCCTTTTTTCTTCTCCGTTAACTTGAAGTTTTGAAAAGAAATATGGATGCGCAAACCAGAGTGTTGAAATTGCACAGTAGAAGGCCGAGAAAAGGGATCATATATACGTGATTCGGACCAAAAATTGCACTGAAGGAATGTAATAACAAATTGGCAATGTTTCTTAATCATGCATGAGGTTGCTGGGACACGGCAGTTTGTGCAAATCTAATTATGCTCATGAATTACCATTGTCATGTAACTGCATAAAATGTCAAACTCGAGCCTGCAAGGTGTTTTGGTTTCTTGCATTATCAAATCATTTTAACCTCATTCATGAATGTTAATGGATAACGAGATGCAACGGAGTTGATTAATGTTTGATCCCCGTAATTTCACTCCTGGGGGGTTATAATCTACACTTGCATAAGACATGGTGTTGCAAAGTTCTATAATCCCCCTCCATACACGAAATTAGAAGGCCCTAATCTCATGTTACTTCATCTATCAAAGGTTCACAGACAAAGCCAGATTGCTATTTTCTGATCTTAGTGGATCATGTAATAGTTGCATTCATATGGATTTTACACATGGTCCTCATTGACAGTCAGAAGAAATCAAGGCCTCATTTATTACTTGTAAAGTGCCCCCTGACTTTACAATTTAAAACAATCAGAATGCGCTTAGTTATATGATCAAACTTTCATTCGTTAAACTGTAAACAGTGATTTAGCATGGTTAGCGTACAATGGTAATAGTGTCTGATCAATTTGTACACAGACCCAGAGAGATTTAGATTCGCAAGAGACACTTCGTTCGGGCGAAGGCACTTGAGTTTCTGGAGCCACTCGACAGTCCTGCTTTGGATAGTAAGAATTTCAAAGAAACTAATTCGTCCAAGATGCTTTGCTTTTGCCGGAGCACTGAAATTGATCATAGCTTCATGTCATGACTTGCAGGTCTGTTTCTTTAGACAGTTTGTTAGATCGGTCCCCAAGGTCGATTACTTAACACTACGCCACGGATTCGTAATTGTAAGTTTCATCTAAATACGTTACATCATTGGATTGACCGTATATATGTTTCCAAGTGTTTTATCAGATGATTATTCACTTGCTGTTAACTGAATTTCCCAGGCTCATCTTGCCCCTCAAAGTCATGCGAAATTCGATTTTCAAAAGTACATCAAGAGAACACTTGAAGAGGACTTCAAAGTTGTTGTTGGGATCAGGTAGATGAACTCTCCACATTTTTCAGCAGTTCATTCACGAGTTTTGTGGATTTGGCTGTAACTTTCAAGCTCCAAGCTTGAACAAGAGGTCAAGGTCCTCAAATTGCAGCTCTGTCGTCTTCTGTTGACTCTGCTCTGCAAAAGTCAAAAGAACTTATCTCATTGCTTTGTCAGATAACAGCTTATTTTCTTCCTTTTGCAGCCCAATAGTCTGGTTATTTGCCATCTTCTTCCTGCTCTCCAACACACATGGTAACCGAATTAAGTCTCTTTTTATTGCCACCTTTAGCTCCCATTTGAAATCTAATTTCATGCTTACTGTTAAAAAGCAAAGCCTGATTTAAGGAGTCCAATCTAGTAACAAACTGCTCAATTGGTACCATTAATTCCAAAACCCAAAAAGCAGAATTAAGTGCTTCCGGTCTCAATTCTTCGATTGCCAAGCAATTTCGGGATTTTAGGTAGGCAATTGCGGATAGCAAGTGACCTGAGGACAATTTGCACTTTCGTATAAGAAAAAAAAGATCCGGAAGGATTTGATTGTGTTCCGTGCATAAACATTATGGCCTTCAGTGATTTATCGCTTTAATTAAACAATTAATAGGGTATGTTTGACTTCCTGGTTGCAACTTGGTTTTGACAATCTTATTTCTCTTTATCATGTTTGACAGGAGCATATTCTTATCTGTGGTTACCCTTCCTTCCACTAGTTGTAAGCCTTATTCCCTTCGTCTCCTTTCAATTTGTAGAATGGATGTTTTTTACCCTCTCTGCAAGTAGAGATTTCAAGACTTCTCAAAGAAAAATTCAATAAGCTCAGTTACAAGCAATCCATTGGACAATAAGTAATCTACCTCCAAACGGGTATGAAATAATCTAACGGTTGCCTAACATGTTTGCAGATCATTCTGCTAGTGGGAACTAAACTGCAAGTTATAATAACAAAGATGGGTCTGAGTATCCAAGAGAGAGGACAAGTTGTTAAGGGAACACCAGTGGTTAAGCCTGGAGATGATCTCTTCTGGTTCAACCGGCCCCGTATCTTGCTCTACCTCATCCACTTCGTTCTCTTCCAGGTCAACTTCCCCAAACTCAATCGACTCATATAATGAATAGTCATTTTGGCATCAAATTCATGCCGACACTTTTGGTGCTAACTTTTCTCTGGTCCTCACAGAATGCCTTTCAGCTTGCTTTCTTTGCTTGGACTTGGGTTAGTCATCATACTAATTTTATTCTCCTTATGGAACAACTTGTTCATTCATCTTGGTGAATTCCAGGCCCAACCATCTGCTTACTCTTCTGTGTTTTTTATTTTCCATTTTCAGTATGAGTTCGGCTTGAGATCATGCTTCCATGATAAGCTGGAAGATGTAATTATCAGGATATCGATGGGGTATGAACTCGTTAACATAGTACCATTGCGCATGTTGTAACAAAACTCACTATGGTTAATAATCGTATTGTCATTTGAGCAGGGTCTTGATTCAAATATTATGCAGCTATGTGACTCTTCCTCTCTATGCACTAGTAACGCAGGTAAGCTTCCCATTTGAACTTGTTCGTCAAGTATCCGCTAAGTAGAATATGCGATATTTCTCACTTCCAAAATCAGATACTACTTTTCTGCAATGGGACTGGATAATCTAACTTGCTTTTTCTTTACAATCCAATCAGATGGGCTCGAACATGAAGCCTACCATCTTTAATGACCGAGTGGCCAACGCACTACGCAATTGGCACCAGAGCGCGAAGAAGCACCTAAAGCAAAATCATGGATCAGTCACACCATTCTCCAGTAGGCCTGGAACTCCATCTCGCGGAATGTCCCCTGTCCACCTGTTGCAGCACTACAAGTCAGAGCTCGACAGCGTGCAGACAACTCCGAGGACATCCAACTTCGGAAACGAGGGTTCGGAGACCAATGGCCCAAATTCGCCTTCACGCCGGAATGAGGAGCGTGGTGACGTCGAGATGGGGGTGCAACATGCCGATCAGGCTCAACATGAAATAGACATATGCTCAGTGGATTTCTCGTTTGAGAAAAGAACCAAAGCTTGAATGTTGAGTGTAGGAAAGAGCAAGAAGAGGCCAGAAAATGTAGTCCTAAAAACCGAAGAAGAGACAAGAAGACAAGAACGAAGTAGTATAGGCTTAGCTGTGCCAAAACATTCCTTCTTATAAAACTATGCGAAGATTTTGAATGTAAAGATGCTTTGTAGGAAAATGCATAGTTGATCGGCAGTAGACTTGTAAATGAAGTTCACAGAAGTGTTGAAATATCAGGACTGTTCTGTTCCGTATCTGTACAATAGAATGATCCTCAGAATGTCATGAAAATTTTTGCCTTTATAGTCTTGAATGTGTAGAACCTAAAGTTACTATATATTTCCATGTCAGTTTATCCACACTACCAGAAAGTGCTCCTACCAATACGCTTTAATTTTATGACGCAGATTATTGATTCACAAGCAGTTCAAACTCGTGATGTTTCCTCAACAAATACTAAGATCAATCACAACAATGCCATCTCCTAGATACAACAATATCTCCTTTTCTCTTTCACGGGAAAAAGAAAAAATGTATGTTAAGTTAAAATGCTCACAGTATTGAAGTACAAAATCCATAGTCATCTGCAATTGCTCGGATTTCCTTTCGCTATCTTTGCAAACTACAGGCATAGAATATCCTATATGTTCTGCACCTTGTTGGCTATATTCTTTCACCAGCAGTTCAAATGCAGCAGACATAACCAAATTTCTCCGAGTGTCTTCGTTATATGCAGACTCAGCACAGCTCGCCGCTCAAGTAAACAATCATAGTCACCCTCACAACTCAATACATGACCGCCAGGAAAAGTGAAACTGTGGAAGACATTAAAGAATCACCCTATTAATTCATATTGACACAAGTTATGGGGAACAACCCCAAAAGCAAGGATGTGATCATTGTGAGCAACTAAGCATATTTAGCAGTGTTTGTCCAGCCTCTTGTCTCATAGGTCTTGCATATATCATTCCAAGCAACCATAAACAGAGTCAATAGTCAGGGGGCATGTCAGAAGGCTCAGACAACAATCAGGTGACTAATCATTTTCAAAAATCATTATTTACTGTAACTTAGTTTGGAAATTTTCATTCGATTCTGAGAACTCTAAGTACCATTTTGTGCTCTGAGACTATTCTTTCGAGGATTGGAAGGTTTGACCGAAATCTGGCCGGAGATTACTTCCTCTTCGACATTAGTTTCACCCAATTTTTGTTGCGTTGGATGCTTGCGCCCCTTCGTTTCAGGATGTACAGTCCAAATCGGGAAATCACGAATTTTCAACATTTACTCAATTCCCGATCGACTCTATGTGAAACTTGATGATGGTACAAATATGCGAGCAGAATATGAAGTGACAACAACATGGATGCCTTTGTCCCGAGTGTAAGAAAAGTCATAAACTAATTATATTGATGCAAATTTAGTCATAAATATTTGGTATAAGTGCACTAGAAGTCTTAAAACTTGTCAAGAAAGTGCAATTGAGTCCTAAAACTTTCAAAAAATGCGATCAAGTCCTAAAACTTGTCACGAAAGTGCAATCAAGTCCTAAAACTTTCAAAAAATGCGATCAAATCCTAAAACTTATTACGAATATGCAATCAAGTCTTAAAACTTATCACAAATGTGCAATCAAGTCCTAAAAATTTCAAAAAGTGTAATCAATGGAAGGACTTGATTGAATCAATTTGATAAGTTTTAGGACTTGTTTGCACATTCGTGACAAGTTTTATGACTTGTTTGTACTTTTTGAAAGTTTTAGGACTCAATTGCACTTTCCTAACAAGTTTTAAGACTTAATTGCATATTATGAAAGTTTTAGGACTCAATTGCACTTTTGTGATAAGTTTTAGGACTTTGAATGCACTTATCCCTAAATATTTTAATGTTTCCAATTTAGTCCTAAATATTTTGACCTAGAGCCAATTCAGTCATTCTAGCGAATTTTAGTTGGATATTGCTGACGTGTATACCGGCCGGCCTACGTGGCATGGTCGGCATTGACGTAGACATTATTAATAATAATTTAATAATTTTTTATTATTTTTCTTTTTTTCCTTTCTTTTTTTTCTCCACTTTCCTCCGGTTGTTGGCGAGGGCGAGTGCCAGCAAGGCCACCCTCGCCAGATCTGGTAAGCCCAAGCGTCTCCTGGGCGAGGGCGACCTCGCCCTGGCCCAGGCGACGTCCGGCAAGGCCGTCCCTCTCCTAGGCCAGGTGGAGACGGCCTTGCTTGGGCCAGGGTGAGGCCAACCCTCACCCAGGTGATGCTTGGGCTCGCCAGATTTGGTGAGGGCAATCTCATTGGCACTTGCCCTCACCTCGACAAGGCTGACCCTCGTCGGCCATGGTTGTGCTAGCCACCGAAGGAAAGAGGAGGAAAAAAAGAAATGAGAAAAGAAAAAAAAATTGAAAATTATTAAAAAATGTCTACATCAATGCCGGCCATGGCATCCACGTCAGCAATATCTAGTCAAAATTAGCTGGAATGATTGAATTAACTCTAGATTAAAATGTTTAGGATTGAATTGGCACCATTAAAAAGTTAGGGATGCATATGCAATAGGTTTGAGCTTTTATGACACTTTTCCCGTCCTGAAAGTAACCTCAGCATAGTCTACATTGTCCGACGACCTTACAACCTCTATGAAAGTATCTTTAGTCACCGCATAAATTTTCAATGGTACTCGTGTTTCATGGAAACACAAAACTTCCCATGCATTAAAGCTGGAATGATTGGGAACTTCACATCCCACCCTTCATCAAATCATCCCCGATCTGTTTATCTATGTGATCCTGGTTGAGCTAAGATCAATCGAGCTGCGCATGTATCCCATGCTGCAATATTGTTCCATACTTCAAAAGATTATATCATCTCCACATGCCTGGAGATGGCATAATAAAACAGGAAAGACGGTACCGGCACGATAGACAATTCATGAAGAACCCCAGGGCTCAAAAATCTGAATACATAATGTCTCTGACTCTTCCTTTTCAACCAATATACAACAAGATTTTTCCTTCATTTAACAGATGAATAAAGCCACTGCGATCTTCAACCCTTCAAGGTTTTTCACAGTGCCAATGCCAAAAACCAATTTGACATGCTTAGCAAGACAGAAGCTGAAACCATCACAAATTGACTGGCCCAAAAGCTTAGTGAACGAATCGGTATTCAGAAGTAGTATACCCCCAGATGAAACAATACATGAAAAGCCGCAACTGCTCGATTGCCCAATCCTCTCTCTAAAAGAGAAATGTCCCACACACAATACCTACGTATGCTTGAGAACAATGAATGCATAACTGTACCCTAACTCTCGCATGTTTCGATATCAAAATTTGGTAAATTCTATCCTGTTCATTACATAAGGCACAGCAAATACAATTCAGGAAATCACTTGCCTCGGTCAAGCACCTTAAGGCATCGGTTCATTGTTTGTGGATCTTATTCCATTGAATAGAGATTTCATCTGAAAACTAAGAATCAGGTTTGAAGAAGGAGAAAGGCGACGGGCCCTCGACCAACCAGAATACATAGAGGATCGCGTATTCAGGCTCCTAGAATATGGAATACAGAGGAGTAATTGAGGAAATTTAGAAAGTAATTCTCCGCGTACAGGGTATAATTGAAATCTCTATCATATTTTCATCCACCCCAATTTTGGTTCCTCCAGCCCAATATATGGAAAATCGTTCATTCAAAATTACAAGTAAAAGAATCGCCCACCAAACTGGAGATTAGAATAAGAGGAGTGCCATAATTTTCAATTGAATTTAAGTACCATAACCTTTTTTTTTTATATAAAGTGCCATTGGCCTCATCGGAAAGTGCCACAAATTTGAAAACAATTTGCCTTGCTGGAAAATCTTTGGGAGGGCCTTCGTGGCCTTGCCAGCCCGGTGCATAAAAAATAAAAACAAAGAAAAAAAGGAAAATAAAAATAATAAAAAATATACAAAAAATCCTAAGACAATTTGTCGGAATTTTATTTGGATGTGACTTAAGTGAGAAAAAAAAGTTATGACACTTAATATGAAATCTACGACACTTATGGTATTCTTATGTGCTGACCAAATAGAGAACTAAATCATCAGAGTCCCCCAAATTCAGAAATTCAAAAATCAAAAGTCTAAGAGAATGAAACAAAACAAAATTCTAGAGATATAAGAAGAAGAACGAGGAAGGAATTGAGCAATATAGAAATAAAGGTTCCTTTATTCATGTAGAAGACAACCTAAACTCCACGATGCATCAACCCCTAGACTTCTGCACTGCCAAAACGACGGTAACGCTTGAAACGCCATAACATCACGCGACCAAAACACGACCGTGCCCCCATCAGAAATCGCCACCGCGGAGGCGGAGGACGAGGTGGAGGGTCGACTCCTTCTGGATGTTGTAGTCGGCGAGCGTGCGGCCATCGTCCAGCTGCTTCCCGGCGAAGATGAGGCGCTGCTGGTCGGGCGGGATGCCCTCCTTGTCCTGGATCTTGGCCTTGACGTTGTCGATGGTGTCGGAGCTCTCGACCTCGAGGGTGATGGTCTTGCCGGTCAGGGTCTTCACGAAGATCTGCATCTTTCAGAGATGGGATTGAGCTTCGAACGGAGAAGAGACTGACTTCGGGAACTCCGATGATGAGAAGAGGAGAAGGAGGAGGGAGGGTCGGGGGAGTTTAAATAGGAGAAAAGTCGCCGACTCAAGGTGACTTGATGGCGACGTCATCCGGTAAATCAAGGAAAAGATCCAGAACAATCAGGATGAGATTAGCATTCACTTTTTACTCCTTCGAATCTTTTTTCACAGCTTGCCTCACACATGCATGTGCTCTTTTGCTAGTTGTCAACCAATTCTATCTATATCTTGCATTCCAAATTTGGATTTCAATCTCCTTATCCTTCAACCATTTAATTTAAATATCTAAATTAATCTGTATTTTGGAACATTCTCTCTCCACGTATCTAAATGTATTTTCTTTTTCTACTATACACATGTACGCGGCGTGCGCTCTGATTAATAATTGATGATCAGCGTTAAGCATGAGTTATATCTAGTCTGCACGTACATATCAAGCGGATGCAATTGACCTTCTCTAAAGCATCATTCTAAGGCCATAAAGCGGGAAGAATTGTGAAGTTGCCATATAGGATTTTCAGGTAGTAGGTACTGATAAGATGTCGTTTATAATAAAGATCAAAATTCATTATTTTCAAATAAATATTTAGATACATATAAGACAGATGCGTTCGGACTTTTTTGAAGCAGCCGAAGGGCTTAAAAAGAGAAGGACTATGAAATTGCCATGGTAGGATTTACCATCTAGGAATTTTGTCTGCTTAATTTTTTTAAAATATATATTTATTTTAAGATTCTACATAAAGAAGGGAAATTTAAATCTTTAAAACCTTACATTTCCTTCTCAATTCTTTAATAGTAGCTAAGAGCAATTCATGTTAAATTTTTTTTTAAAAGGTAGGGGGCAATAGTCCTCTAATTTATAACCCTTAACTCAATTAATCTTCTTTATGTTGATCGTGCGAAACGGGTCATGTCAGGCGATGGGAATTGTCTTGTGATAAATTCTTACCGTGGATATCTTTTCCACTTGTATCTTTAAATCTTGCCAAGTTGCTTTTCGTGAACAGTATGCTTCCTTTGACCAAAAACAACGTGCCCAGTGTTAAGGAAATTGGATGCGGTGAGAACTTGTAGTTTCAAGCGTAGAAAAATATAGAGTAAAAGTCGAGACGCTTTGAGAGTTTTTTTGTTTTTCTATTTTTTTTATTTCACTTTGTTGTTCTTAGAATATAGTAATATCTAGGGGTGATTAGTTCTAGAGTGGGTAGGTTCCGGGTTATTTCTCAATTTATTTGAATCCATATAAGTACATTGCCCCGACTTGACAGCAAAGATAAATTTCTTTTTTACCCTAGATATAGAGATTAAATTCTTTCTTCTCACATTAATCTGATATTCGATAATCCTCATGTCACCTTTCGCCAAAAGCCGCAATTGAATATCTCTCAACTACATATACTTCTTTATTAAAAGTTGAGAATTTAATATATGTTTGAAGCGAATGAGATCTGCTTTTTGTCGAGGCGTTTTCATGTTTGGCCATTTAATGGACGATGACCCACAGCATGCCAATGCAGGAAGGACGACCATCTTGTGTAGAAAGATGGAGGATAGAAGATTCAAAAATTGATTGCTTGGAAAGAAGGAAAGGAGAAAGGGAGGTTTGGGATAGATAGTTCTCTATAATGGGCATTTTAGACTTTATCTGTTTTGCGAAAAATGTGACATTTCTAAAAAATATTTTTAAGAAAGCCATTTTTCAAGAAAGAAACAATATTTTTCAATATTTGATTGAAACTTGAAATTGAACTGAAAATTATTTCTGTCGTTTTGTATTGAAAATCTGATTCGATTTTCCTAAATAGATATATATTATTTGGGAGCTAATAATTTGCACATAGGTAGTCCAAGAATCGGGTACGGGCACTAAAGTCTCGGATTCGGTCTCGATGGACCTCCAACCCGAGCTCCAGAGATCAGGGCATGGGCACTTAGGTACAAGGCCTAGCCTTGATGGACCGGGGTGAGGGAACCAAGGTATCGAGCCCGGCCTTGTGAACCCGAGCCCAGGTGTTGGGGATCCAAGGTCGGGTATCGAGATCCTGCGCTTAGCCTTTGTGTTGGCGCATTAGGCACAGGCACTCGAGCTTCAAGCCAGGCCTCAGTGGACCCGAGCGCGGGTGCTATGAGCCTTGGCTCGAGCAAAAGGTCTCATGCTTGGGCTCGGCCTTAATGGACCCGGGTGTAGGCGCTGGGGTCCCGAACCTGGCCTCGATGAGCCTGGACTCAGGCGCCAAAGACCTGGTCTTGGATGTTAAGAACCTGGGAACCAGCATTGGGGTTTTCGTGCCCAAGCGTGGAGTTTCAGGTTCAAGCGCCGAAATCTATTCATATTTTGGAAAATGATTTTCGATTTTGTAAAGAAGAAATCGTTTTCTTGAATTTAAGCATAGGTTTTCTGTTGGTTCATTTACCTAAGCAAATGAAACGTTGAAAAATGAGGAAAATGTTATCTCGGAAAATAAATAATTTGGAAAATATTTTTCTACAAATAATTGTTTATATCGTTGGAATAATTAATTAATGAAAAATATTTTCATTATCGACAACAATTTATGTCTAAATATTTTCATGGAAAAAGAAAATATTTTTTTGTTTATTCATTTTTATAAATAATAGAAAAATGTTTTTGTTCATTATTAGGAATCATTCCTTTTTCGCAAAACAAACGCACATTTGATCAAGTAAACTCGAAAGGGTGTGAATTAAGCCATTTAACTCTTAGACTTTTGGCCTGCCTTTTTGCAGAGTATGAGAGTCGAAACTTACATATTAAACTAAACATCCCTACTTCTAGTTCCTCTGAGAAGGTGGGGAATTGAACTCCTCACCTCCCCTTTCCCAAGTAGGACGTGTAGCTACTGGGGCAAACTCCAGTGATTAATGTTTGGAATTAGCATCATTCCTTTTTTATTGAAAAGATAATTTCAACAGGTTAAAGATATTTTCACACTCATTTTGGCTAAAACATAACTTTATATAACCCCCTCTCAACTCCAAAACCCAGATGACATAAATTTTTCTTTAATCCTCGTGTGTATTTCGTACATAGAATATTACTAATCTTTTCGACGTCTCATCATTTAGATCACAATAGCCATGAAAGATAGCACTGTTATTTCTGAGTATACTGGTGAATTAGCTATTAATTTCCAATTATATGTAAAGAAAGTTCAAGTAATATAATGTTTCGTAATCTGAAAAGTTAATTTTTATGGACCTAATCTTGAACTTGTTTTTATTTTTTGTAACGATAAAATTGTCTCAATTATTAGAAATTGCGAGTATGCAATGGCAAACCTAGGGGGCTAGTGATGGCTTCCGCACCCAGGTCCAAATGTTTATTGTATTTAGAAAGATTTTTATCTACAATATTTAAGTAATCTTTAACACTATCAAGGCAATGCCTGAGATTAAGAGTCTTCGTTGAAGCAGTTAGTTCAAGAATTAGTGCAAAAGAGCCAAGCAGAAGGTGATGAGTACACTGATGAGTTAATACAAGGAAGAATATGCTCGGGTTTGGGATTATGTCGGTGAATGTAGGCTTTAGAACCCATCCAGTAGAGGTTGTGAAGAGGCCACTGCCTGACTGTGGGACTGAGTTTGATAGGATTTATGTTTGATTTGATGCATATAAACAGTGATTTTTGGCTAGTTGTAGAAAAGTGATAGGGTTGGATTGATGTTTCGTATAGGGTTTATGAAAGTGAGAGTTATTGGCTGTCGTCAGGAGAGATGCCAGTAACCAGATGTTTCCAATAGCTTGGGCTGTTGTCAAGGTAGAGAACAAAGATACTTGGTCCTGATTCCTAAAAATGTAATAATTGACCTTGAGATAAATAATGGGGGAGAATGGGCATTCATGAGCGACCAACAAAATGTCATTGTTAACTGTTGGCTTTTTAATATTATTCACACATTTTAGCTTATAAGTATTTGTTGGTTTGAATTATTGTAAGAATTTGTTCTTGCGTTAGCTGAGTTAGTGTTATATACTGAACATAGAATGTGTGCGAGGCACATATATGCAAACTGGGCAAAGAATTATAAAGGGGATAAATTGTAGAAGCAATTTTGGAAGATAGCAAGGAGCATCAACATGGCTGATTTTAGAATACACAAACAGGGGTTGTTTGAGTTGACAAATGAAGGTTTCGAAGCACTAATCTATATTGAGCTTAAGCATTGGTATAGGGTCTTCTTTAGTGAAGAATTCAAGTGCGATATCATTAACAACAACCTCAGTGAAGCATTCAATAGAAGAATCATAGAGGTCAGGTGCAAACCAATCATCGGCATACTTGAAAATATAAGAGTTATAGTCATGACTAGGCTACGAAGACAAAGAGATGATGTTGCAAAATGGACTAGAGAGTGTGGTCCTAGGATTGCGAAGAGATTGGATGAGAATAAGATTGCTAGTAGGTTCTATTTTTCTATTTGGAACGGAGATTATGGATATGAGATCAGACACAATGCTGATAAGTATGTCATCCAACTGGAGAGGAGAAAGTGTTTATGTTGAGTTTGGCAATTGTTGACTGTATGCCCTAAAGCAACCATGTCATAGTTACATGTTAGGGATTTTAGTTGTATTATTTATTTAATGGCAAAGATGTATTCATTCATTGTCCAATTTTTATGAATGATTCCATAAGATCAAATTGTGACTGAACCTATTCTTAAGGTGTTAAGAATATATGTGACAGGTTTATAGTTAGACCGAATTATTAAAGTGTACCTGGTCGATGGATCATTGAGAGGATATTAATGATCCTATTGAAATCGGTGTGCTCTTAAGCTTCACCATTAAGTATTGGATACCTAAGGGAATGATGAGTCACAAGTCATTGGGTATTGTGATACTCGAGCTAGAACACAGGTGCTTGTATCGGACAAGTTCACTGAACGTGACATGCACAAAATGATTAGCAACACGGAAGTTTTTAACGTGGTCAATATCTAATCGTTCATGCTCTGGTCTTGTGTAAATAAT